TTAGGGGCTCACTGTGGTCTAGCAAGAGTGGAAGCAGAGTAACTGGTTAGGGGCTGACCGTGATCTTGCAAGAGTGGAAGGAAAGTAACTGGTTAGGGGCTGACCGTGATCCATGGCAGCAGTGGTAGGAACTTAGACTGTGGTTGGAGTTTGGAGTTGGAGAGAAGTATGTGGGTTTGAGATATATTTTAAAGACGGAGGTAATATGTTGATGGATTAGATATGGAGTGAGAGTAGGAAGAGTCAAATATGAATACTAGGGTGTTACTTTAAAAAAAAATTCTCTTCTAAAACCAGGTTCATGGAAATGCCATTTTCTGTGATGGGCAACACTGGAATAGGGCAGAGTTTAAGGGAAAATACTAAGAATTCTGTTGCTTATCCACATAGAAGTATCATTTGGGCAGTTTAGTAGTTTGGAGTTGGAGGAAGTCATCGTTACAGAGAGAAATTTGGGAGCTGTCAGATATAGATGGTTGGATCTGGGTAAAATCATCCAGACTGAGGTAACAGAAATGAAGGGTCAGAGAAATGAGCAACAAGTAGAGCACCAGAAAAGAAGCCAGTCAGGAACCTTGGGAAGGAATAGCTGGTGAGGAAGGAATAAAATTAGGCAGTGAGATTTCCCAGGAAGTGGAGAAAGTGCTTCAGTTGTGTCGAGGTCAGGTACTCTAAAAATGCGGAATTTGTTGGTGACCTTTATGAGCCTCACCTCTGGAGGGGTGGGGACTATTGGAGTGGGTTGATGAACAGATGTGAGATGGTAATGACATTGGATGTTCCTTTGAAGCAGTTTTGCTTTGTAGGGAAATACAGAAATAGGATCACAGAAGGGTCTTTTAAAAAGATATGTATTGGGAAATTATATCTATCTATCTATCTGTCTATCTATCTATCTATCTATCTATCTGTCTATCTAATCCTGTATGTAAAAATATATATGTTGGAGTATATGTATATACAGGGAAATTTTTCTTTGGTCTTTTTTTTTTTTTGAGATAAATCTCGTTGTGTTGCCCAGGTTGGCCTTGAACTCCTGGCTTCAAACAATCCTCCCACCTTAGCCTTCCAAGTAGCTGGGACTATAGGTGTGCCACTGTGCCCAGTGAATTTTTGTTGTTAGTTAAGTGATTAATTAAATGATCAGGTAGAGAGATTAAATGAAAGGCAGAGATTGATGAGGCAAGGCGAGATGGGGAAGAAGGGAGGCAGGTCACAGAAGGTGACAGGGCATGGTAACGGATGAAGGAAAGCAGAGAGAATGAATGGAGGCAGGTAGGTGGAGGATTTGATGATGGGAATATGAGGACGGGCTGACTACATTTTTCTTTTTTCTTAAGGAAAATATAGACATGACCTGTGCAAAAGAGATGGAGTTAGGTCTGAGGTGAGAGCAGAGACAGTGTGAAAGAGACAATGTGAAAAGAGAGGGTAAATATAGTAAGCAAGTGTGGGATTGCTAGGCAGTATTGGGTGCCCATGGGAGATTTGTGGTCCCCAGTTTGAAGTGAGACCAGTCTTCCCGTTTGTGTGTTTTCCTTAAGCACTGTTCAGCTCTTAGGTGCAGGCCCAGAGTACATGGAGAGTTGTTTTTAAGCAGGGTTGAAGGAGAGTGGGGTGAAGGGGAGTTACAGATGTTTGTAAAGGAATGATGTTGATGTCCTTGTAATCCAGTGTGGGTTAGAGGAATAGTGAAGATGAGAGGGTGATGATGGTGAAAAAGTGAAAGGTTAAGTTCCCTGAGGTCAGAAACTGAACTAAACCTGATCTTCCAAGGTCCCAGCTCCCCAGGCTAGGTACTTTTCTGTTCGTATGCTTAAGAAGAAAATAGATTTTTTTCAGTTGCGATGTTAATAGCTAGTAACTGCTTTTTTTGAGGATTTACTAAGCGTTGAGTGCTGAACAAGTATTAATCACATTATGTGCTGAAGACAACCACCCTTTTGAGGTAGGTAATTTATCTGTGTTTTACAGATGAGGAAACTAAGGCTTAGTCAGGTCAAATAACTTATCCAAGATCACACAGCTAGTAAGTGGCAGAGCCAGGACTTGAACAGCTTTTGTTCTGCTACAAAGAACACATTTTTTTTACCACGGTCCTGGACTCCTGCTGTCTCCTCCAACTCATTGGAGTACTTGAGATATGGACAACTTATTTGTTCTTTAAAATGAACCATGATTAATTATGTCTAAATTAATCTTTTTTCCCCCTTAGAAATCGTATTAGGGAACTCAAACATTTGTTGAAACTTGCAGTTAAATGAGTAAAAGCCAGGAAGGGACTTGGATAAACCAGAAAATACGTGCCTTGTTTAATGTGGATAGACAATACTTTCAGTCCATTTTGTGGCCCCAGAGTGGCCAGACCCCTCCCTTCTCAAGTTAGGATGGAGATCTGGGTTTTTATGGGAAGAATTGAATACTTAAATGTAGATAACTAATTACAGTTTTTAAAAGCTCTGATAGGTCAAACAGAACCAGCTTGCAGGCCCCATTTGGCCCACTAGCAACTAGATGTGACTTATCCTTTAAATATAGTTTATTTTTATCACAATAATATAAAAATAAATAATTTAAGTATCAGAATTTTAACTAGGTCAGGTAGAGAGGATTGAGTTTTCTACTCAAATATGGGTAATGCTGATACAGTCAAAATAAGGAATAAACAGTGGTATTGAGCAAAATAAATTGAAAAACAGAAAAATGGTAAGTTTTAACAGAGTTGAATTATATTATCCTAGTCCGGGCTCTGCCATGCATGCTTTCTTTGAGTTTTCTTTGGGTTCTTTATAGCTTTAAATACATCACTAACCATATCTTTAAATGTGTGTTTGGGTTCATCCACCAAAGGGGCCTTGTGAAAATACTGAGAAATAACCAGAAGGCCTTGAGGGGGAAAGAAAATAAATGTGCATTTCTTTTAAGACCAGTTGCTAATTTAAAAGCAAAATGTATACCAGTGAAAGAATGAGAATGTTTGGGGGTAAGAAACAGAAGAGATTTTGTTAACATTTTATGAGGTTATAATTGTTATTCTGGTATATCTTAAGCTTCAGAATATCTACTCTGTTCCTGTTATGACATTTATATAAAAAAAAAAACACTTCTATTTTCAGTTGGATGGATTTATTGCTCGAAACTGGGCCAATCAAAAATCAGCTTTGGGAAGTGCTCTTGATCCACTTGCTGATAAAATACTTATCAGTATCTTATATGTTAGCTTGACCTATGCAGATCTTATTCCAGGTAAGAACGCGTCATGCGTACTTTTGAATAGCACAGGGAAGAATGACATTAGTCAGCTTAGGATTTCTCTTGAGACACAAATAATTTTTGTTCCAAAAATATAGTTTTCAACTTTAAACTGTTTTCCTAATTTTAAACTGTTGAACTGTTTTATTTGTCAAACTACTTATGGATTTTAGAATTTATGTCCTTGTTTTACTAGTAAAATCAGTTGCTTTCCTAGTAAGATTGTTTAAAATTAAAATCGAACAAATATTTCACAGTGCCAATTCGTATTACTCTGAAATTTTTTGGTGCTATATTATATATTTTTAGTGCCTAGCTTTTTGAAAGCAATTTAGTTTTCTTATGTTTGTTATCTTTATTAATATCATTTAATCATAATAAGTGAGAACTCTGAAATCCTGAAGATGTCTATAAAATGTAGACCCTATTAGGCAGTTTTTAAATCATACATATAGTTTGTACATTATATGAATACTTTTTCTCATAAGATTTTATGATTTTTTGCTTTGTATTTTGCATGCGCTTTTCTGATTGTTCATTTTCTACTTCAGTTGTATTTCTCAGTTGTTGTGCCTCAGACGAAGTTAAACTGTTTTTTTTCCCAAGAGCTAGGAATCATATCTGATCACACTGGGACTTCCCTTCACTGTCAGTCTAAGAGTTTGCATTTTTGAAGTTTAGGAAAAGAAAAAAAAGGAAGAAAGAAAGAAATCGTATCTTAGAACAAAGAAGCTGCCACATGGTCCCTCGGTATCATGTTATTATTGACACTTGGTAGAAAGAAGTATAGTGGCGTTTCAGTCTAGTGTAGTCTCCTCCAACTAGAAATTATTTTTCTTTCTTGCTTTTAGTCTTCTAAGTTCTCGTACCAAAATAAAAAATAAATTGGACTAATGTTTACTTTTATGTGCTTCTTTGAAAATTAGATTGAAGTGTGTACGTAATTGGGGTGTGTGTAAGTTTTCTTGCCTCGGCTGGTCTCGAACTTCTGGGCTCAAGCGACCTCCCACCTCGGCCTCCCAAAGTGACTGGATTACAGGCTTGAATCACCTTGCTTGGCCCCTCCCATTTTTTCATAGTTACGTTGTATTTTGATGTATTATTTTACAAAGGTTGGCCAGTTATTTTGCTATTGAACATAGAAATTGTTTCCAGGTTTTTTGGAATTATGAATAACGTTGCTGTGAGTTTTACTTATATAATTGGTGTAGGTTGCTTTCCAAGCTGAGACTTCCCTTCACTGGCAATCTTAGAGTTTCCATTTTCTTTCTTCTGTATTGAGTCTATTTTTCCAGGCTCCCTTGTCTTCCTTTGCATTAAGTCACTCTGTAGAAGGATGGAGTGTGGCAGCCAGATTTTTAGAGGTCTTAAACATCTCAATGTCTGTATTTTGTCTTCCATACATGATTGACAGTTGAAGTAGACATTACTTTTTTTAATCTTTTTTCTTTCTTTTCTTTCTTTTTGAGACAGGGTCTCACTCTGTGACCCAGGCTGGAGTACAGTGGCACAGTCTCAGCTCATTGCAGCCTTGACCTCCCAGCTCAAGCAATCCTCCCACTTCAGCCTCCCAAGAACTTACCACCACATGCACCACCATGCCTGACTAATTTTTCTATTTTTTGTAGAGAGAGGGTTTTGCCACGTTGCCCAGGCTGGAGGCATAATTTTTAAATTGCAGATGATTTTAATTTGGAATTGTGAAGACCCTCTTCCATAGACTTGGAGATTCCAACTTGCTGTGGAGCAGTCTCTTATCATTCTGATACGTTTTCCTTTACATGTGATTGTGTTTTATATTGGAAAGCTTTTAGGATTTTAAGAAAATGTGATTCCTAATTGATGTTTTCTTTAAAAAGTTATCTCTCTTAATTCATTTTCTAATGCTTATATGGCTACCTAGTTATCCCAGCACATTTTATAGAAAAATAGGTATTTTCAGACTCAGAGCAAGGTCATTTCTAAATTGTTTTCTTCTCCATTGATTTGTCTGTCTTTGCATTAGTGGTGCCCTTCTTATTGCTTTGCTAAAAATCTTGCTATCTGGTAGAGCAAGTCCTTTCCACTTTGGATATTCTTAGCCCTTTCCATTTGTTATAAATTTTAGAATCAACTTTTCCAAGAATCAGCAATTTTCCAGAGAAAAATCTGTTCGGATTTTGATTGGGATTGCAGTGAACTTATCTGTTTGGAGGAATTTGCATCTTTACAATTTTAAGTCTTCCAGTCCACAGACATGCTGTATCTATTCTATTTAGGTCTTCTTTAGTATCTGTCAAAGTTTTATAGTTCTCTCCAGAAAGATAATAAACATTTTTGTTAGACTTACTCCTAAGTACATGATAGTTCTTGGTGCTTTTATAAATGGTAGCTTTTAAATTTCATTTTCTGGCCAGGCACAATGGCTTACCCACCTTGTAAGCCAGCACTTTGTGGGGCTGAGGTAGGTGGAGATCAGGAATTCAAGAGTAGCCTGGCCAGCATGGCGAAACCCCGTCTACTAAAAATACAAAAATTAGCCGTGTGTAGTGGCATGTGCCTGTAATCCCAGCTACTCAGGAGGGTGAGGCACGAGAATGTCTTGAACCTGGGAGGCAGAGGTTGCAATGAGCTAACATGTCTGCACTCCAGCCTAAGTGACAAAGTGAGACTCTGTCCTCAAAAAAAAAAAAAAATTATTTTCTGATAACTCCATGTTCATCTGAAAAAGTCAGTACTATTTCTAATGTTGATTGTTGTGTCTAGTGAAACTTGCTAACTCGTATTCTAACAATATACATATAAATTCGCTTGGATTTTTTACATGCTTAATTATGTCTTATATGTAATTAATGACAATGTATTTCTTCTTTTCCAATCCTTTTACTTTTTCTTTTACTTGCCTTACTGCATTGAGTGGTACAGTGTTGGCAAGGAGTAGTGTCAATGTCTTGTTCCCAATCTCATAGAAAAGCCTTTAGTGTTTCACTATTAAAGATGATGTTTGCTGTTGGTTTTTGTAAGTATCCTTTTTCAAGTTAAGACGTTCACTTCTGTTGGGAGTTTAAGAGTTTTTCTCACAATTGAGTACTGAATTTTTTTGTGTTTTTTCCAGAGATGCGGTTTTGCTATGTTGCTCATGCTGATCTTGAACTCTTGGCCTCCCAGAGTTCTGGGATTATAGGCATAAGCCACCACCCCTGGCCTGTATATAAATTTTGTCAAACTCCTTTTGTGTATTACTATGGTCGTATTGTTTTTCCCTTTAGCTGTTCATGTGTGGTGAATTACACATGTTAATGCAATATTAGTTCTAATGTTAAAACAACCTGCAATTCCTGTTATAAATCCAACATTGCCATGATATATTATGAAAAAATTGCTGGATTTGTCTTGCTAATATTTTGTGGAAGATTTCAAATTTTAATTCATGAGATTGGCTTGGAATTCTTCATATATTCTTGTTAAGTTTTCATATCAGATTTATTATTAGCCTCATAAAATAAACTGGGAACTTTTTTTTTTCTTCCATTCTTGGAAGATGTTTCATTATGAATATTTCTACTTAAAAGTTTGGTAGAATTTGTTAAAGCCATTGAGGCCTGGAGTTTTCTTTAGGGAAGAATTTTAAAATAGATAATTCATTTTCTTTAGTTGTTAACGGGATGATTCAGGTTTAAAGTATATCTTTTTTTTTTTTTTAACCTTCAGCCAACTCATTCCATATTGTATCTTTTGACCAGTTTTTAAGTTGTGATGTTTTTCTCAGAATTTGTCCGTTTGATCTACATTATAAAAAATTTATCATATGGTATTTATGGTATCCTCATTAACTTTATTGACTTTCTACTCCTTGTGGAGCAGGGCTACCCCATAGGCAGTGTGCCCAGAATAGCTCTCATTAACCTTTTGATGTCTATAGGATATGTAGTAATGTCCTTCTTTTCCTCTTGATTATTTTTTATCCCTTTTTTTTTTTTTAATCTTTTTTTGCCAGAGGTTTGTCAGTTTTATGAATCTTTAAAAAGAACCAAGTTTGGGTTTTGTCAAGCCTCTCTGATATGCTGTTTACTACTTCATTAAATCTTGCCGTTTTATTTTTTCTTCTTCAGGTTTTCTTTGCTGTTCCTTTTCTAATTTTTTTTTCTTTTTCTTTTTTTTTTTTTTTTAGTGCAGTGGCCTGATCTCAGCTCACTGCAACCTCTGCCTTCTGGGTTCATGCTATTCTCCCGCCTCAGCCTCGTGAGTAGCTACGATTACAGTCCTGTGCCACCATACTCGGCTAGTTTTTTTGTATTTTTAGTAGAGATGGGGTTTCACCATGTTAGCCAGGCTGGCCTCAAACTCCTGACCTCAGGTGATCCTGAAGTGATCCTGACTTCAGGTGCCTCTGCCTCTCAAAGTGCTGGGATTACAGGTGTGAGCCACCATGCCTGGCTCTAAATTCTTTTAATCGATTCTGTCTAAAAATAAAATGGAGATTCTTATGTAATTAAAAATTTTTAGTAGCTTTTTTTAAAAAAGGAAACATGAAAATTGATATATTTTATGTAATCCACTATCAAAAATATTATCATTTTAACTTGTAATCAATAAATTAATGAGAATTTTTTCCTATCACACCTTCAAAGTCTAGTGTGTATTTTGAACTGTGCAGCTATAGGTGGCTACTTGTTATTCAACTTTTCTAAAGATTGCATATAAGACTATGTATTTTCCTCTAATTACCACTTTCATTGCATCTCCTATGTTGGTTTTAGTGTGTCATTGTCCAGTATACAATATTTTCCTATTTCTATTATTATTCTTTCATTGACCTGTTAGGTTAAAAATAAATATATCTTAATTTGTTGCCATTTTGGGGGGGATTTTTTAAGTTATCTTTTTGTTACAATTTCAATCGTAATAACCTTGTGTTCAGAGAACATGCTCTGTGATTTCAGCCTTTCAGCCCAGTACAGTCAGATTTTATAAATATTCCTTGAATACTTGAAATGAATGTATATTCTACAGTT